CTTTCAGGGAATTCCAAACTCCTTGTTTTCCATACTTCCAGAGTAGATGCATGAAAATTTAAAACATTCTGAATATTTAAAACAAAGTGATTATTTTAAAAATTATCAACATTTAAAAAATGCACTTCATCAGAAGCTTCTTCACCTTCAGTATAGTGAAAACTTGTTTCACTTTCACAATTACTCTTGCTCTTGCATACTGAAATAAGTAAAATGTTCTTTAGTCTACTAATCTATGCTAAGCCCATATTGCTAAGTTGCTTTCAAGTATTTAATCAATTTCCTATGCAATACTCAGTTCTAATTTCTTGGGGACAAACACCAAGAGATGAGCAGTGGAATCTTTTTCTATCAAAGCATCAACTCTCAGGGGGAAAAAAAAGCCCTAAAATCCAATGATTAAGTAAAAACAAAAACAAAAAAATCTTTAACAATTTTTATTTTAAATCAGGGAACATAAACCACTATCAACTACAGCAAAAGACAAATGTAGTCCATTTCTATAGCATGTCCTTTTATATTAAAGAGTCACAAGAAGAAAGACTAGAAATAGAAAAAGAAACAGAAACCAATGAGAGAAATTGAGAAATACAGGGAAAGAGAGAAAAACAATCACTCAAAAACACTTTATAACTATCAATGAGGTCTTAGACACTCTCAACCTCATAAAGTTCTAATATGTCTACTAAAAAAATCACATTACTTTATGACTCCCTCATCTGTGAAACCTAAAGCAGGATTATACAAGAGTTCTAATGGTCCCTTTTGAGCTCTTAAGAAAGAGAATCATAAAAGACATTTAAACATTTATGCTCCTTCAAGGAGAAGCATTCTATTTTATACTCTAACAACTTTTCAACTTTGATAAATACTTAAAACTGTATGTTGTAAATCTAAAATATTAACGCATTGGTATTTCCACATGAGCATATTATTTGAGGACCAAGAAATGTTTATCATCCTCCTTTTTTTTTCTGTAGAAATACTAACCAATTTCAGTAATCATTCCACCAATTTAATTAGGTCAACACAAAACTTTTATTGGATTGGAATTCTAATTTTTCCAATTTTCTTTCTATACTGTAGCTTTGAGCAGTTTATTGTGATCGGATTATACTTTTCCTTTAAACAACCACTAAGAAAAAAAATTCACCTATCTAGATATGTTGACTACAACCTATTTAAGCAAAAGGTCAGGCCTAAGAGGCAAAAGACTGAGATATTCAGAAAATGATTTAATTTTTTTTTTTTTAGGATTTTATTTATTCATTTGACAGAGCGAGAGACACAGCAAGAGAGGGAACCCAAGCAGGGGGAGTGGGAGAGGGAGAAGCAGGCTTCCCGCCAAGCAGGGAGCCCGATGCGGGGCTCGATCCCAGGACCCTGGGATCATGACCAGAGTCGAAGACAGACGCTTACGACTAAGCCACCCAGGTGCCCCTGATTTAAATTTTTTAAATAAAGTTGGAATTAATGTCATTATTCCAAAACTTATCCACTCATATAAATCCACTGCCCATTCAAAAGGAAAGAATCCATCCACATCATGACATACCTGATATATATAAGCAGACTTAGATTAAAATAATTTTAACTCTACATACAGCATGGTGATACAACATAACATTGGGCATATGAAGTTAGATACAAAAGAGTAAGTACATACTGTATGAGTGTATCATAGAAAGTTCAAAAACAGGTTAAACTAATCTATGGTATTAGAAGTCAAAATAGTGGTATCCTTCGTGTGGGAAAGTAGTGCCTGGAAGGAGACAGAATGGGAGCTTCTGAGGTATTGTATACTCCGGGTTCTGATTATCCATGTGTTCAATTTGTCAAAATTTATAGGACTATACAATTATGACAAACATTTTTTGGATCTGTTTTCTTTAAATAAAAAATAATTTAATAACATTTACTGCTCTCACTTTATTATGCATTTTAACATGTAAACAGAGAAGGTTTAACAACTCCACAGTTTTCAAGGCCCTCAGTAACTTACCCCTACCTTACAAATCCAATATGAATACTGAAATCTATATCCTTATTATTCCTCTCTCAGTAAAATGTTTAATGCCTTTATTCATGCTCAATTCCTCTTCATTTAACCACATCCTGCTCTTTCAAAGTTATAACATCCCACTTTCTTTTATTTTTTCCCAGCTCACACTTACCTTTCCCTTCTCTCATCTCCCTTGTTTTAAACAACCACTAAAGAACACCTAATATCTATAGGTATTAAGTATAGATATGTGACAAATTGTGCCAAAATTGTAATAAATATTTTACAAACATTTTATTCACTCAAGTGTTATTTCCAGCTGAGATGAGAAAACATGCTCAGAAAAAGTAACTTGTCCAAACTCAAAAAACTTCTAAGAGGCAGGGTCAAGATTCAAATCCAGATCTGACTCTAAGGCCCATGCTCTTAGCTACAGAGCTAGACTATCTCTATCTTATGCAATTAGCATATTATTTAATGTTATTTTGTCCGTATTAGTCATATTTTATACCTTAGTATCTATCTTTATATAATCCTACCATCCTTGCTATATACATATATACTAACTCCATCAAGTCATACCTCACCTACCTTGAACTATGCTATGAGGCAATGCTATCTGGAAAGCAACCAGGACATAAAAGTAAGCACACCAAAAAATGGCAATAAAGACTCAAAGTATGTATCATCACCAAGTTTATTCACTACAGATAACATATATTATTGACAGCAGGGGTCCTTAATTCTTCCTAATCACAACCTATTTATATTTATTTTCCATATAATATTAACAAGTCCAGTTATATAGTTTCTATTTTATAGCACAGTAAAAGTAAAAAAAATAAAGGACTGCTAAATATAGGAATAATAGTTGCAATGTAAAGTGATAGTTGAGTATAAGAAAACAGCACATTAAGATCAAAAAGAGCAGTCCAATGTCACACAAGGTAGTAATAAACTGTCCTCCCCCTACCTCCAACGAAATAATCGACATTCATAATGACCCCAGCCAAAGAGAAAAAGTTAAAATGTAGTTGATATATTCTTCTTATTAAAGGAGAGAAATAAGCAATAGTTATAGAAATAATCATATCAAAAATGGCTAAAATGTACATTTCAGAGCTCAGCCAATAACCTGTTTCTTGAGGACTCCAAATCAACATTACTATAATATATAGCATACTCATTTAACCACTAATTATTCCAGCAATATGGCTTATCCTCTACTGTATTTGTTTTTAGAAAGATTACAAAGGGTTAAGTGCATGGGTTTAGAATCAAAAACAGTGAATGGGATCTGAATCATCATACCTCTCTCTTTTACTGCCAGTATGACCTTGGGCTAGTTAGGCTCCCTCTGGCCCCACTTTCTTCATCAGTTACATAAGGATATTAAAACATATTTTCTAGAAATGTAGGATGACTAAATTAGATAATTTAAGTAATGTTTTTAACAGTTTCCAACATATAATAAAATTCAAAATATGGTAGCTGCTATTTTTTGTAATCAAAGACCATGTCTTCAACATCTAACAACCAGAACAATGCTAGACACATAGGCAGTACTCAGTAAGTAGTTGGTAACTGGCCTGTACGAGCAGAAAAGGGTAAGACTTTCTAATAGCACACACGGCAGTGCCCAATGTGAGTAAACCTACTACTTTTATTTGTAAATATTTATAAAATAAAAATATGAAAGAACTAGGATCAATTACTGAGAAATGATTCTTTTATTAAATTTTGGCTACTTTGATATAGGAATTTCATTAACAAACTTAGCTGCTCAGCAAAGAAACAACTTTGAATAAGCTACCTATCAATGAAAGGTTTGAGTGATGATGGATGACATCTGTCAGATACTATAGAGAAGATCCCTGTTTTGAATGGTAGAGCTAATAAAATAACTTCTAAAGTAGCTTCCAAATATGCTTAAAAATAAACATAATATGTAGAGACACATACCTTCCCCAAATGCATTCATATTCAAGTATCCCAAGTGAACATTTACTTGCAATATAATTACTCATTTTAAAAATAATTACACTTTTTCTTTACAGTACCTTTAATACAGAAACAATTACTGATGTAAGTGAAAAATTTTTCCTAGGACTCAAAAATAAGTCTAAACTTTTTAAATAAAACAAAATAACTATCAGAAGAAACAATAACATAGCAAAAGGCAGCCACCACAGTTTATCCAAATTTTTTAACCTTCTCCTTTTTTATTTCCTTTTAAAGAGTAATCAGCATTGGGGCACGTGGGTGGCTCAGTTGTTAAGCGTCTGACTTTGGCTCAGGTCGAGGTCCCAGAGTCCTGGGATCGAGCCCCGCACGGGGCTCCCTGCTCGGCAGAAAGCCTGCTTCTCCCCCTCCCACTCCCCCTGCCTATGTTCCCTCTCTCGCTGTGTCTCTGTCAAATAAATAAATAAAATCTTTAAAAAAAAAAAAAAAGAAGAATCAGCATCTTTTTAAATGTCTTCCATTTCGCTAGGTAAAACAATACTATATATTTCTGTATTCAAAACAATGTTGAAACATGAACACGTAACACTGAATTCTCCCATGACAAAGGAGAAAAAGGTTATTTTAAGGTTATTAAAATACACAAAGTGATTTAAACATTTTTAAGACTATACTAATCTAAAATTTAACTCATTAAAAAGTTGTAAAAACATGTTGAGAATTATTCTTACATATGAAATCTTACATAAGAATTAATCTGACCTGCTTTGTACCAAGTTATGCCATTCAAAAGTAACATTAGAAATTACAAGCTACAGCAATAAAATTAAAACACAAGTCATTCTAAATAAAGTAGAAAATAGCTATTTGTATTCAAATAGTCCATTATCATGATTTTATGCTAATCATGTGATAGATATGATTAAAAACTTATCCACAACACATGGGAATAAAACGTTCCACAGTATTCCACCAGCCACCTCGTCACACACAAACTGCCATATAGCTAAATGTTAAGAGTTCACAGCTCACCTACCTCCAACCACTGGAGTCTTCTCACTCTTTCTGCAACTCTATTCCCTTCAGTTTTTCTTTTTTCTTTTTTTTTTCTTGGGGGAGGGGGCTGGTGGTGATGGTGGTGGTGTGGTGAAGGTTAGGGAGTATATTATACGGAATTATGAGTGGAGAAAAAACAGGGCAATTAAAAGTTTTAGTATATGAGGGATGAACATTAAGCATGGAAAGAATTAGCAATACTATCTTAAGATGTGATTTCTCGAAGTATGAAACTACAGATAAATATATATAGGTGCACACATCTAAAAGGAGTTAAATACGCTTTTATCTGGCAAGCTGTTCCTTCTTAGTAACTAAAAGTAAATTACTTGGCAGTCTTCTTTGTTTACAGCTTCTGTGTCTCTTCACTCTTTATTCATTATAAGAAACACATGAAATTACAGTGGATTCTGAACAAGATCGCTAAAATCCCTGCAAGTGGCAATTCAACTCTCATTTTGCTGCTTTAATATAAGCAATAATTTCCCCAGTATACCCTTTACCCAAATAACTAGAGGGCTGGGTAGGTTGTCAGGATTTAGCAATGAAATATTCCATATTTTTCAGAATGATTTTTATTTCAAATATTCTATCTCACTGTGAGGCCACATGTTTAAATTCTGAGTTCAGAAAATATGGTCATTTTAGTGTGGAAAATAACAAAAACACTACCCATCTCATTTATAATCTCTATTTCCAAACTGCATACATCTTGAAGTAAGTTTGATAACAAATTTACAGAGCCCTTTGAACATGCAGTATTAATGAAGGGGAAAGGAAACACATATATTACAAAACAATGGAAGAAAAAAAATCATTTATACTTGGATTTGGAATAACAGCCAAGCATTTATATACTCATAGTCACAAGCACACAATTATTTCACAATATGCCTAAAAGCTCTCAGTCCAGTCCTGCATTACCTTTAAAGGCCAGAAGAGCCCTACTTTGAAATATAAATAATCCTCAATAATTATGAGTTATATAATCACCAATTTTCCTCAACATTACCTTCAAGTACTGAATAATATGCCAGAAGTGTTAGTTCACAAAATTAAGTTACAATTTTTTTTTAAAACACTGATCCCGAGTTCTATCTATTCAAATGCTACCCTTTAATGCAAAAGTCTGACAGGTGTCAAGACTTCTATGAGGTCTTCCCTCTAAGCCATTCCTTACCTATCTCCCTTCTTTTTTTTTTTTTCTGAATGCCTTCAGTTTTTGATTCCTTTATAAGGACAATTGGCAGGTTCTTCTTATACTGCTATCTTACATTATGCCCTGATACAGGTATATCCCAAGATATGCCAGAAGCCAAGAATTGTGCCTTCCTAATTCACAATACTTAATAACCCAATTATATAATATATGGATCAAAAATATGCTGACATTAACAAACCACTATAAATCCAAATCTTCAAAATATTGGAGTAAAAAAATGGCAAAGTAATTAAAAGAGCCAAATTCTTGAAAATCCAGGTAATTAAAAAACTGTCTTGTGTCTTTCTTACTAAACTCAACTGACTCCATAAATAGGGTATGTTCAAAGCCTCGGCATATCCTCAAATTTATATTTTATATAAATTTCATCATTACCAGGTACGTTGCTCAGTTTATGCAATCTGCCTGGCTCAAAGACTTTGTAAAAGGAATTTTAAGAATGTACTTAAGTTTAAATTCTCTTTCAATCCTCTGACTTGGGATATATGTTATGTTTATCTAGTTTTACACAATTATTTTCAATTTAGTTTGGTATCTGTATAATTTTAGAAGTAAATTCATTGTAGAGATAAAATTTTAAAGTAGCTATTCAGCTTTAACCTGGCCACACTAACAAAAAAGCACAGATAATACAAAACAATGGATGAGCCAAAAAGCATTAACAGTCAACTCTCAATTATTCGCATGTGGATTACCTAATATATATTTTAACCTATTTATGTTGGCTACTCTAACAGTATTTGCTCAGGAAATAAAAATTGATGCTAATAATTCACTTAAAAGAAAAGACACATCAATCTATTGTAGGGGAGGAAAGAATATAAAATCTTCCCAAGCCACATATAAATAATGCTATTTAGATTATGTAATTTAGCGCTCTTCCATCATTATTCACCTTTTTATTAAGTGCAGGTAAATGAGAGTGGACTGTATTTAGCTTGGTGATAGTCAGAGATACAGATACACAGGCATGCAAACCATTCACTCACCCCACTGTGCTTTTCACAGCCCTATTTTCAGTAGCCTGAGACCTGGGAGGGGGAGGAGGCAGCAAGTCACTGCAGATGATCACTTAAAAGGAAATTGAGAGTTGACTATAATTTACATTTAAAGTGCTATGAAATACCATCACTCCTACATGTATTCATTACTGTTTATGGGAATACTTCTCACAGTGATTTAACAAGGCTGTAATGCTTTCTTTTTAACCTTTCAATATCCCAGAAACATGGTGATAGCTGAGGATCACAGAGACGGAAGGTGACAGTGCTACACGTGTAACGGAGTATGCATTTTAGAGATCCAGGAAACTGAAGCACAGAGAGATTAAACAGTATGCCAACATCATCCTTAGATTAAGGAAGAGTAGGACTGAGTTCTCCGGACACCAACTTCAATGCTACAGTCTCACAGTTTCTTCAACCAAAACTCCCCTCTTGGCTTCTGAGATCATAGTCTTGCTAGTTTTCTTCTCTTGGCCACCTTCTTCTCATTTTTTGATTCTTATGCTATGACACTCTCATCAGCTCATCCTCTAGCCCTCAAATCTTTAGCTCTTCTCCATTTACATTCTTCCCTGTCTCAACGCCCTATGCAGAGAACAATCAGATCACAAGTTTAGAACCCATTCAAGTATTTGCAGCTACCTTTTATACATCTCTGATTGACTTAATCACCTGAAATTCAAAGTGCAAAGCTAAACTCATTATCATCCCTCCAAAATGGATCTCTTCATTTCATGGCACCATCAATCTCACTGTCCCTCAGGACTGCAAACCTAAAATGTTCTTTTACTTCTACTCTCCTTAATGCTGTACCCTCCATTTCCCATCTCTCTCTCCATTCTGACATTCAATAAGTGCTTCAGTTATTATTATATGATAGATGCTGGGGAAGCTTAAGATCCAGTGAGGGAAAAACAACTGGACAAAGAACTTAAGGCAATGAGAAGTGATATTTAGAAAGGAACAAACAAAAGTGGAAAAGCAGAGGAAGAAGCAATGAATTCCCACTGGGATGATTTCTAGAAGTTGCATTTGACCTAGACCTTAAAGAATTCGGATTTCAATAAAGAGTACTGAAAATGAAATTCTAGGCAGAGGAAACAACCTGCACAAGGTCAAGTAAACAGAAACTGCACGCCATATGCAAGGAATAAATCATTTTTGTCTAGAGCAGATTCTCAACCAGGGGTATAACACAATCTCCAAGGGGAAAGAACAAATATGGGGAGGTAGGTGCTTTGGACTTGCGAACTTTCCCCATGCCCTCTGAAAAGCACTGTGTGTAAAGAAGGAAGAGAGTGTCTTACACAAGTAAACTCTGCACAGAGGCTGACAGAACAGTATGATTAAGACAGTACAGAAGATAATTTTGGAATAAATCATAAAAGGCCTTCAATGCCAAGTTAAGAAATCTGGACTTTATTCTGTGAGCAAAAACGAGCCAGGGAAGTGTGAGTATGAGTGTGTTTTGTTTTTTTTATTTAAGGGAATGGTAAGATCAGATCTACATTTCAGGAAAATAATCCTGGCAATCGTATAGCAGAGAAAGTGAAAAAAAGGTGAAAGAAAAGATTTTACATCATCCAAATGAGATAATAAAGATGTGAACAAGCCCAATGACAATGGAATAAGAAAGACTAGATTCATTAGATATTTCACAGGCAAACTGAAGGAACATGGCACATGAACAAAGATAAACTGTAGGTCTCTAGCTTGATTATTACAGAGGATGGTGGTGGTAACTAAAGGGTGAAAAGGGAATATGCTTTGGGGTGCAGAGTTTTACACATCAGCCTTTTCAGATGAGTAGCAGACACATAATGCTAATATGTTTTGCAAGCTTAAAAGAATGAGTCTGAATAAAAATGTAATTATCATAACCATTTCAGCACATGGATTTTTTTTTTTTTTCAACTCATGGATTTTTGAAGCCCTCAGTGAAAAGACTGTTCAGGTACATAGCATATAGCACCGTAGGAGAGAAGAAAAGATCAAGGACAGAACCTTAAGGTCCCCTCGCTTAAGGAGCTGGAAGACCAGGCGGGAACAGAGAAGGAGCAGCACGAGAGGTAGGAAAAGCAGCAGGAGAATATTTCACAGAAGTCGAGTAAAGACGTGGTTTCAAGAATAGCGAAGCGTAGTGCCGACAAACGCATGATCTGCAGTCAGTCGCTCACTAATCCTATGACCCTGGCTGAATTACTTACCTGAATTTCAGACCTTTGGAATTTTAAAACCTATATCCTCATCTGTAAAAGAGGGATAAAAAGAGTACCTCAAACAGTTATTAAAGATTAAGTGAGATAACATATTTTAGAGCCTGGAACAAAACTATTAATACAGTAGTAGTTCTAAAACAGAATGGGGAACTTAAAAATGCCTATGAATTTTGCATGAGATTACTAGCATCCTTTAAAAAACTATTTTCAGTACACGGGGAAAGCTGTGCTTAGAAGACTATAGTCGTTAAGGAAGAAAGCTACAGAGTGAGGATGAACTATTCTTTCCTTAGAGCGGATGGAAAAACAGCTACTTTGTAATCTTCATCTTTTATCTTTCCACACCTCCCACCATCATCCCATGCCTGGGATAGTACCTGATCCATATGAAGGATACAACAAATGATTACTGAACATGAGAAAACTTCCAATAGGAAGGAAGAAATGAAGAAAGGGATCTCAGTTCTACAAAGAATCTTAGAAGAAACAGTATTAGGAGCATAAAATTCCTTTCCAGGTTAGCCTTGAAAAGGAACAGAGATTCTGTTTATTCCCTGACTCAGGGAACCAGAAGATAAGTATGTATAAAATATAAAGGGGAAAAGACAGGCACACCTGGCTGGCTCAGCAGGTAGAGCATGTGACTCTTGATCTTGAGGTCCTGAGTTCAAGCCCCACATTGGGCACAAAGGTTACTTTAAAAATTAAATAAAGGGGAGGAGTCAAGGGAATTCACATTAGACAGCTTCAACCTTCTTAATAAATATAAGTTCTCTGCACAGTGTAGGAGTATTCCAAAGTCAGTTTGACAATCTGAAGAAAACAAATTAGTTGATTACTCCATCTCAATATATATGGACCTTCATTTCTAACTCCAACATCCTGGTCTAGTTCCCCACCATTTCTTAGATTACAGCAGCAGCTTCCTAAGGCAGCTCCTTTTCCTGCTGACTTTTACCTTTCCCAAGGTGTGGTACAGTCTCTTGCGAGCCCATGTTTCCTTTCATTATGTCTACCACTATTCTCATGAGAAGTCAACCACTCTGAAGCTGCCTCTAAACCTCTACCCACCAAACAATTCATCATTTTCTCCTCTAGGCTACTTCTGGGTCCTTGTACAGTTGGTTACTTAATTTATCATTCCATATTGCAATCACTTTATTAATATCTGTTCCAGTAAATTCCTGAAAAGGGGAATAACATCTTCCTTATCTTCATTCCTCCAGCACTTAATTCAGCATTTAGTAAATAATAGGCATCCAGTCAATGTGTGTTTTGTCTAACTGAAGTCAGCGATTAAACAACATAAGTAATCTGCTCACTAGATAAAAATCAGAAAACAAAAAGTAGTGTTCAAATCTGCATCATTCAGATAACCTTCCTTTTCTAAGTATTAAACAGCAACTAAGACAGTCAATTTTTGTATTCTTTCTAAAGGAAAAGGAAAAGAATTGGATAATAAAAAAATACAAAACTCAATACTTTTAAATAAATTCTAATAGTTAGATTTGAATACAGGTTTGTCCATGTCCTGAAAATTCACTTTGAACACAATCATTAAATTACTGTACAGTAAGAAGGACTTACACAGGAAGAATACTCTGTGTCTTTTCAAGTTATTCAGTACCAGAAATGTACTATGAGACTGATTAAAAAACAGGCTATCCTTGCAGTGGAAGTGACTAAGGGAAGCATTTTGATTTCAAAATAGATATTGGCATGCAAAACAGAGAGAGTATTTAAATTATATCAATAGCAAGTATCAGGGACTTTCACAAATTAAGTAGAGTAGTTGTTTGAACAAAACTGAAAGCAACAATCAGCAATAAGTTTACTGTGCGATCTACTGCAATGAAGTTCCTAAACTAGATCAAAATTAGTCCACCAACAATTTTTAATTGAAGTACACTATGTATGAACTAACTACCAAAACCAAAGCACGTAGAACTCTCCTGGGCCTCAAGAAGCTTGCAAGGGTAGCCAAATCATTATTACTAAGAAATTTTCTGGAGTCAGAGAAAAATTCTAAGGTTCTATAAAATAAAATACTACATTATATCTTAAGTACATATAATACTCTTTGCTTAGACCTAGTTTACTGGTAATCTCACAGAATACTTCTTTACAGTTGTTATACTCAAGAACTCTACCTCAGACAGACTATACCCAATTAATAATGTCTCAAAAAAATGAAAGCCTCAATACCGTAATTCCTCATTAACAAGTTTATAATGTTCAAAACAACTGAAATATTTTAAATGCGATATAAATAATTTTTATTTCATACTGTGGGATGACAACTAACATTTAGTTAACATCACTCACAAAATTATCAGCTCCTGTACTGAGTATTTTAAGCATTAGTTCATTTACTTCTCACATTCTTAATAACCCTTTGAAGTTATCTCTTTGAGATGAAGAAACTAAGAGTTAAGCAAGGTCAAATACCTTGCCCCACATCACCTAACTATTAAGTATCCCAGCTGAGATTGCAACACAGAACTATCCGACTGTACAGTCTGATCTCTTTTCACTATACATTGATGGTTCCTTTAGGAATTAGAACCACCATTACCTCTACTTAACAATGAACTTTGTGAGATAGCTACACAATGAATTTCTCAAAGGTTACATAAAAAGAATTAAAATGAGAGCAAACACTGCCTTCGCATTAAAAACTTGTAGTTTTGGTTACCCCAATCTTTATCTAAAATGTACTGTAATCCAATCCACAACCAGCTGCCCTTCAGCAGCAACCCAGACTGCCCTACAGTTCTCAAACTATTACTAAAGTGTAATTCCTTGTGAACTTTCTTCAGGTTAGAGCCACAAGACTTCTTTGAGCCACAAACCTTCTTTTAATAATGAAATGTCTGTCAGAATAGCAATTCCTTGAACAATAATAGCTTCCCTATATTATAAATTACTTTTTTATTCTCATATAGCCTCTCTTACTTGCATATGCCTTTTGCAATCAATTTCACTTGGCTGTGTATATTCCAAACTAAACTATATTTTATCAGTGCAAGCAGAAATAGCATTTTTCTGCTTGCTGCATTATCCTAAAAACACCTATGGACAATGGTGTTCACAAAGTGCTCAGAAAATATAACATTTTAAATAGTAAACATACAGACTTATCTGTGCACTTGAATAAGTTTGAAGTAAATCAAAGGTATCAATTTGTATATTTTTTAACAAACCAAAATTCTGATACCAACCACAGAAACTACTATATATATAGGAGCTCAGCAAACTCAACCTAAAGCACAAATATAACTTATTTCTAGCACCACATCCAAACAAGCTTTTAATGAGAAAATTAAGACAGAAGATCTATCTAATAAGTGCTCTTTAAACCATCTAAACACATACGCCCACACAGAAATTAAATCACCTAATAAAGTACATCTGTTACAGAACTCAAATACTAATTTTGAACCCTGTGGGAATTTTGTTTTTGTTAGGAAATTTACTAGAAAATCTTTTCCCACATACATCTTATATAGATTTTTCATGTGTGTTTTATATAGTCACGTTTCCAAACTGTTACACAAAAGTCAAAAGCTTTACATCTTCTACACTATCTGCTGAAAAAAGTTCCAATTTAGTGCAGAAACCCTTCTGCCTGTTAACACCAGCACTTCATTCGCCCAACAAAGTCCCTGAACTTTCAGAATAAAATATTCTTACAAAAATGTACTCTTGTAGCTAAACAAAAAGTAGCTGTTTAGTTTATAACAGTTTTCTTACACTATGAAATACAAAATACAACAAATTAGACAATGCACTATGCTTTAAATACCAGAGATGAGTCTCAACAATGAGCCCGCGTCTGACAAATACTTTAGATAAGTCATTACGTCAAGTAGAACATAGGTTAAATTTTTTAAAGTTTTAATGAAATGTTTACGACTTTTCTTAACTTCCCGAAGTGTTTTTCAGATCTCAAAAAGGAAACTGACTGTACAGCTGAACCAGCTTACACTCTATGCTACAGCCGGTGTGAAATATGACTTCTTCGGAATCAGTAGATCAAATCCTGTTTACCGTGGAAGAAAAAAGAAAAACCTTGTATATAACTACTGTATCTCCGAGATATTGTCGAATAAACTCCAGTACGGTGACTAAGAGAAGATTCACTGGCCAGTAGCCGGATTAGATCCTTAAAAACACAACCGCGGGGTTCGCCCAGTTCCGAAGGTGTAAACAAACCCGTCGCCACTGCAGAAGGTAAACAATGAACCTGCAGCGAGGGTGAGGGGGCGGTCTTTGCCAACTACAGTCCCAGCCACCCGGGAAAGGGAAACGGGAATGAACTACAGCGCAAATCAGACACTTAGCCATAGTCACCCATTCTAGGTTTCACTACCGAGTTATCAATGCTGCGGGTCCCCCAGGGCGGTGGGCAAAGAGAAAAGCAGTCACGCAGGCAAGCAAGAACCCAGCAGGTCCGGCTTCTGCTCGGGGGGACGGGGAGGGCAGGATGTGGTCGCTCTTCCCTCAGACATCCTCCGGCAACCTAAATAACAGCCTCTACCTCCCGCCGGCCGCCTCCAGGCGAATGGCTGCACGAGCTCCAGGATGGGAGTTAAGCCCTCCCTCGGGGGCCCAGAGAACCCAGAGGGTAGCCCGCTCCGCTGGGTCCTGCTTGGCGTTCCCCGGCACCCGCCGCACCCACAGGCCGGGAGAAAGGCGCGGGGCGAGGCAAGCGGGCACCGGGAAGGGGGATGGGTCCCGGGAGGCTGCCCGGGGCTTGGCTCCTGCGGGCCAGCAGGCGGGGCTCGGCTCTGCCTCCCGCACCCCCGCCAGTCCCGTGCGGGGCCCGCCCCTGCCCCCGGCCCCCGACCCCCGGCTCCTCCCCAGCAGCGTGCCGTCGCCGGCGCCCGCGGCGCCCCGCGTTACCTCGGGTCAGATCCAGCGGGACGTTCTCCTCGCCGCTGTCATTCCGCCCTGCGCGAAACAGACACACAGCTCCAATTAGGATTCGCTCGCAGGCCAGCGGCGGCAACCCTGGCTCGGGCCAGCGCCCCTAATCGCTCCCCCAGCCCAGGGCCAGGGGGAGGCAAGGGCCAGGGGTCGCGGGCCCCAGGCGGTGGGGAGTGAGGGTTGCAGCGGGCTTACCTCGTATTCGGAGGTTCTTCAGCGAGCGGCCGCGGCCGATCGCCGCCATATTGACGGGTTTCAGTCACAACACCGGAAACCTCGCCCAATCGCGCGAGAACCCCTTCCCCTCCCCGCGCGCCGCGCCCGCCCCCCGCGGCATCTCCCCCGCCCCTTCGCGGCGGCAGGCGGCGGGTGGTGCAGGCTGTACCCGGGGCGTGGAGGGAATGCGGTGCAGACCCGGGGTGTCCGTGGGGCTCGCGGCGTGCGCACCCGTCCGCCTCCCTGGGAGCCCGAGGTCGCGGCTACACGCCTAACACTTCGAGAGCAAGTCGGCCGGGAGGCGGCATTTCCCACGAGGGGAATCCCATTGATGGGAGTTTGCAGCGTGGAGGATGCTTCCCCTCCAGTGCCGCGGAAACTGTAATCAGAGCCGCGGCGAGCCGGGAGGAGGCCGGGATGCGGCCGCACGCCACCTGCGGAAACCATCCTGCCCCATTCTCCTGCTTGCTTTCAAGCCCTCCCTTCCTTATCAGTTAAAACGATGTTTATTAAAAAAACAAGCTGCGCTTGTAACTCAAATCCCTTCCTAGAGTCGCTTTGCTCCAACCAAGTTAACATGTAACAAAGTTTGTTTTCCACCCTCGTTCTGACCACCGTGCTAAGCAGCCTTGCACTTGATCTTCAAAACCGTACTTGGCCAGGAGAACTTCTCTAAGAGGAAGTGGTCGGGGGGGCGTTTCGCTTTTGACCGCCTGGCGCAGGCCGGGAGAAAGGAGTTAAGAAGCCGGGAGTGCGAGGTGGTCTTCCCGGGCGGTGGGTGAGGTTGTTCCCGCGCACGCGCGGGCGCCGGGAGGCCCGGGGAGAGGGTTTCCTCTGCCTGGGACCAGGCAGAGGAGCTGAGGGCTGAGTCGGGTTTTCTGTCTGTGTAGCTCTTGAACACTGGCTAATGTAGATGTTGTGGGTTAATACTTTTTATACATAAACCTAATAATCATTAACTGTAGAGATTGCAATTCTAGAAACTGTTTTTACCTAATTAATATATATACACCTGGCCTCTGACCCAGCAACTTTCTCTTAAAGTAGACTAGAGAGAGGCTGAGTGTTGTGCCGCCTCCTGCTCCTCGACTGGTCTTTTTATTACGTGAGACTGGAAGTTAAACAGTGGAGATCTTGCTTTAACCATCTCTCTTGTCCCAGTTAATGCAGTGTCCAGCATAAATAAATGTTCAATAAATAATCGGATCGACGAGTAAGTGCCTTGGATTCCTTTGTTACAATGCTCTTTTTTGCTGTTAAAAAAAAAAGAAAAGCAGTATTGGAGATAAAATTGCCGTTGTTAATAATAGTGAACAATTGGGAACAAAGATGACCAAAGGTAGGGGTTATGCAAATTATTACAACGGTTAAAAACGATGTAGGTCTAGTATATTTATAGAAAATTAGGTTCATGATTTTAAATCAAGCAACAGATTACAAAATTCCCTTTTTTATACGTTTAAAATACATATAAATTAAAATTATACGTTATAAAATATTTTACATATCTGTGTACATAGAAAAGAGTCTGAGAAGATATACATCAAAATGTTAACTAATTTTTTTCCCTTCAGTTGTGGAATTACATATACGGTTTTTGTTCTTCTTTGCTGTCTATACTCTAAATGTCCTGCAATTAATATATATATCTAGTGTAAAATAAGTGAAAGTTATAAAAAATAAAAGCAGTATACAGTAGCATCATCAGGAAAATAAAAGAGGAACATTGTTTCCTTAGGAGACTATCCTCTGTCCATATATTCCAGATCCTTTTCTTATTAGGTCTACAATCAGATATCTGTTCCTGATACTGCCCTTGTATTCAGTGATGCAACACAATTGGAGCACTTTTTAAAAATGTCTCCTGACATAACCACTAGTAATTTTGATAACAACAAACTTTGCTCTTGCTCTTGTAGCTTTTAGGTCTTGGTGCAAATTTATTTATTCTAGTTACAACCTAAGGCAAAAATCACAAAATTTGAGGTCTCGTTGGGACATTAAAAATTTGCATTTCATCCTTTCATGTATCACATTTCACCATTTTAGAAAAGTAGAAATCTATCAGTGGAAATTCTACCAGATTCTTAGAATTGTTCCAATTTTCAACCAACCCTTTTTATCCTATTTTTTGTCCCTATTTATCCTAAATTAACTCCTTCCTAATACAATTTAATTTCATCTTCTCTTTCATTCTTTCATGAAAGTTGAGTACAACTGATCCACTTTTTAAATTACTTAAGGTACATGAAAGCCTGAATCTAATAACCTTTCATCTTTGTAACTATACGTTCCTATTTAAAGATCATTATTCAATTATTCCATCTCCTTGAGGAGAAAAAAAAAAATCATCTTTCCCCAATCTTAGAATGAAACTAGTTTTTCTTCTATTACTATCTCACTTAAGTGGCTGTGTTCTTCACATTTGTTGTTAAGGTGAATAATAGGATTTCTGGTAAAAAGAACAAGTTCTTAGTGTTTGCAATTGACACTCAACTGGGAAGTAGGAGTTTAGGTAAATTTTAGTAAAGAACACATTTCACAATGTTGTATTTGCTTTTTAAACAATACATTATTGATTCTAGTCGGCTTGTTATTTGTTAGAATCTCTAAGTTATCTTCTATACTTGCCAACAGCTAGCCATTCCTCCTTTTGAAACTTGTTTGTCTTCCTTGTTTATTTTAGCCCACCCCTATGTTTTACTCATTTTGTTTACATCTTACTACTTCTCCAATTTTCCGGGTCATTTTGATTCTAATCTGGTCATTGACAATGTGACTTCCTCTTCCTAGTTTTCATTTCCCAACTAGGTTTCATTTGCTGTGTGAATGAAATGTCTTTTCTCATAGTATGAGTCACTGATAAAAAATGTTATATGAGATTGGGTCCAGGACCACACCTCTGAGAGATAACTGCTTGATTCTGAAGATAAATGACTGTACTGATAATCACTATCTGGGTTCTATTCTCTATCCTATTACACAAAGTTAATAATTCTAGTTTATAAACCAAATTTTATCAGTTTTGGGTACAGAGATAATGTTGAACAGAAACAAAGCCTTGCCAAAATCTTAGTTCCCTTTATCTATCTGCCTGACTACATAGGCCATACGAAGATAAAGCAAGTAAAAAACCACATTTGATGGTCTGTTTTTTGGTAATTTCTCTTCATAGTTAAACCATACATTTAAAATCTAGATAAAGAACATTAAAATGACAGGCAATGGACTAAAATCAAACAAATGTTGTAATCTTGCACAGTGTTGATTATGAAGATTCAGCCTTGGTCTTGTTTGCCTCTTAGCATTGTTCCTTTAAATTTTAATCTCTGTCTCAAAATAGCAGGAAGTAGCCTCTTAGTATTGTTCCTTTAAATTTTAATTTCTGTTCCAAAATCTCTTGTAAATTTCATTTTAGAAAAATTCTGTAAGGTATAAAGGCACTCTATAAACAGTTTTAAACAGAGTATGAGCCTATGTTTGTGAAAGGATACATATATTAAGAAAGTAAAATTTGGAAGGGTATTCACTAAAATTTCAACAGTGATTTTCTCTGGTTGGTAGAATTTTGAATGGTTTTTATCCTTTTCATTTTAACTTTTCTAAAACAAATTTTTACTTATATACTTTTTTTTAAGAAAAATTACTTTAGAGAAATTTTTCTGGCTATCCTAAATCACAATGATAAATATCTCATTATAATAATGTGCTAAGCAATGGACCTACCAAATTATTTGTCTGTGCATCTCATCATTTAAAAAAGAACATTTGTGCACACACTCCAATACATATGTATTTACTCATTTTTTTTTTTAAAGATTTTATTTTTAAAGTAATCTCTACACCCAACATGGGGCTTTAACTTACAACCTTGAGATCAAGTGTCCCATGCTCCACTGACTGAGCCAGCCAGGTGCCCCTACTTTTTTTTAAAATTAAGTAAGACATAAAACATAAGGATGAAATAAAAACGGTTAAAAGTAAATTTTAATGTTACTTTACTAATGACACTAATAACAATAATGGGGCTAAATATACTTTATTATTTTTAAAATTTCTTGTTAAATACTTTGATATAGTAATTCAAAAGTCCAATTCTAAGAAGAGTTTATTTGGATGTTGGGTTTTAGTAGCTGAAATCTCACAATATACCAAGTTTTTTTTTTAAATGGAAGAACTACTCTACTGGCTGAAGTTTCTAAACC